AGGAGCTCCTTTCTGGCAGCATAGTGCAGGCCAGTAGCAGTTGAACCAGCGCATCCAGTGCCAAGGAATACAACATTTGCGCAGGCGTGTGTTGCACCCCCCATGCGGCGACCCTGATGCAAGAAGAACTGCGTACCTCACTGCGGGCTTGCCAAAAAACAGTTGCCTCTGTAGCACCAGCAGCCGCACCAACCGGAGCCCTCTGACCAACAGCAGGACCTGACGGCATTGAGCAAACATGGGGCGCCGGTAACTGTCAGGTGTGGTGATGATCGGTGTGGAAGCTGTTTGGAAGCGCCAAAGCAAGGTTGAGCAGGGAAACGTGCCACGCAGAGGTTGCCAGGGGTGGCCTGCTCCAGGTGTCTCACCACTGGTTGAAACAGGGCGCAGCCAGGCCCAAAGCTTGGGAATGTGCTCGCCGGCGCGCCTGTAACCCACTTATCCCCCCTCGACCCCTTCAGGCGACCAGCCCCTGGGCGCGCCACTCATAGCAGCCTTCGCACAACCTTCGCGGTCCACCTGCATGCCGCCCAGCATTGACCGGTCGATGACACCAGACGCCTCCAGCACCAGCCCCACGAGCTGCACTGGCGCGGACAGCGCGACAGGCAGGTCGATCCAGAAGTGGCCAAACAGCACATAGGCTCGCGCCACGTCCTTGAAGCCGTCCACGTAGCTGCATGAAGGGTTTCGCACATAGTCGCAAAACCAGTGGCAAGGACAGGACATTGGCATAAATCACGGATGGTGTGAAGAGGTACTGGCGGCTTGTGGAGGGGGTCGCATACGGAGGGACAGTTGGGCCGTGTCGGTTTGCACGACGGCAATGCATCGCAACACAAGGCGAACTTGGACATTGCCAGGTCCGTGCTCATATCGGAGACAGTCCAACAGACGTCAAATAAATCCATTCGCAACTGCAGTCAGTAGAGCTCTTTACAATTGCAATAGGTCCAGCGCATGCAAGGCTCACAGGAGGCGGTCCATGTAGCGTATGACGACAGCCCTGAGGGGGTGCGGTTGTGAACAGTGTTCACATCGTAAATGGAGTTGGCTAGTGACAGAACTCTCATGAACAGGTGGGCTAGGCAATGTGCATCCTGACATGGGATGGGCCGTGCTGGCGTTTGGGCTAATCCCCTTTCCCCAATCTCCTGCCGGTCAGCCAACGTCTGGCTGTCCGCCCCCCTTCCATCAGACAGCCCCAGTTGTGGCCCCACCTGTGCAGCATTACACCCATGTCGGCTGTGAAGAGGAAGCCCAGCGTCAGCGACACTGTCGCCATGGCCTTATCCTGGTTCAGGCCAAACGCAAAAGCCAGCGGCAGGAGGATGGCTGTGTACGTCAGGTCAAGAAACAGGGTCAGCGCCGACCAGGCCACGATGAATGAGTGCGTGGGCGGCACGATGGGCAGCCCCAGCGGTGAAGAGCCGCGCAGCACGTCGCTCTCCCTGCGGCGCTGCAGGTACTGCTCGCGGCGCTGCAGGGACATAGGGAGAGGAGACGGGGGCAAGGGGAGTATTTGGTTAATGTGCATTCAGACCGGCAATGCTTGCATGCGTCATGTACCACTAAGTGAGCTGTGGGGCGTCTTGTGCAGCCAAAATGCTGTTGCTACTTGTACGGCATTGAGATGTGAGGTAGGCTATTGCGGCCGGTGTGCATACACGACCCAGGACCAACCTGCACGGCCTTGCGGTGTGCAAACCATTGAAACTGGCGGCGCGAGACGCGGTGCACCCAAGGGGTGATGTTGCACCTGGTGAAAGACATGGGAGTGGGTCGGTTAGGCGGCTGAGGTGCTGCGGGCACATACCCCTTGCCACCAGTCCCAGTACTTGCTTCCGCCAGCTACTCAGGTTTGCAACCTCTGGAACAAGGCCAGATCTCTTACCAGAACTGGGAGAAGTTTGCCGGTGATATCACAGGATCCCCTAGATAGTGCGCAAGTGTGAACAGGCATGTGAGCGCACTGGCGTGCGGTGCCACTGCCGAGGTGCAGCGTAGCGATGCTGCGGGCAAGCACCGCAGTTAAAGATCCATCAAACGCATCTATCCACCTACCCGGGAACAGCTGGGACTCATATGGATGGTCTAAGAGCGGAAGAGTTGATTCCTCCGTCAGCAGCATCCTGATGTAAGCTCATATGTATTTGAGAGTATTACATACTCATATTCGACGGCTAGCCCGCTGTGAGGCGTGCAAGATTAATAACCGGGTCACCACCACCACCCAGATCGCAACTCCACTGAGTGCTGGTGACACCCAGCTGGAGCTCGGGGCCCAGCGTCGACGGACTGCTGAGGACGATCAACCTGCACTCATGTCAAGTTTAGCCTTGCATTCTTGTTGACTGGCTTTGAAGCTGTGCATCAGGCACGGGAACTTGTTTTGACCAGGCACCGACGCCCTCTTGAATACTGTCAACAGCGAAGTACTTGCATAGATGCAGGGACACTTGCTTGCATTTGCAACAAGAAGTTGAGGATGCTAGCCCACTCACAAACCGCTTCTGACAATGTCTGCAACTGTGTCTGTTTTTGCGAAGCTGCACACACAACCAACGCATCAGTCGCTCAAAGCCTGCAAGCAAGAGTAAATGATGTACACTGGGCACCCTTCATTGGCTGCACCCCCCTGTAAAAAGTGGCAGATAAGAGCATTCCAAGATGCTTGTAGCACACACATTAAGCTGTCAAAGCGCGGCCTGTAGCATGAAAGGGTGACACACAACCCCTGAGTGCACATGCATAGAGCCATGGGCAGCAGCCGGCACTCAAGCCAAGGCCGATACATGGAAAAGCAGTCGCACACTGCCAAATCCCGCGAGAATTCCTGCCAAAACGTGTTTGATTTGCACCCGTCTGTGAAGTGTTTTGCCAAACATTAGGGCCTCGCCTGCTGCTGTGCGACAACCACTACTGACACCATGTTGCCAGCCCTGCAAAGCATCCACCACTGCGAGAGCTTGCTCCTACAACAAAACCCGCTGGCTATGCGTCTGCCACCAGTGCAGCACCGTACGCTGTTATGGCCAGGCGATGTTGACGCCCTTGCTGCAGGGGACGTGGCAGTTGCTGCCTTCAGTGCTTCAGGAGCGATCGGCACTGAGATCCGCCGCTCATCTTGAATGGCGGCCTGCTTACGCTGGTGCTGCCGTTCGGCCCGATTGGCTGCTGCAGCCATAGCCCTGCCCTGTCGAGATGACTCACAAGGCGTTTGGTAGACTTGCATCGTTTTGCTGCCATCCGACCTGCTGCCGCAGCGCACATCCAGAGCCTGGCCTCGATTCTGCAGCTGAGCTCTATATGCAACAGCGATGTTCCTCAGGGGATCCACCAGCAAAGCCAATCAACTTACCTTGATTGGGTTGTGGAGGATAATCTAAAACCACCGGGGACCATCGAGCTTGGCCGCAATCCGGCAAGCTCGGCTGCGGTATTTCCGGCGGTGCTTTGTGTTTTGCCATGCAGTCACTCTGCCCCTCCCCAAAGTGGCACGCAACGTGGCCCTGCCCCGATCCAACCTTATGAAAGCATATGATGATGTCAACGACAAGCACACATGTGGAGGGGCTGGCTCTCACCTCACACCCTGACGTGCAACCAGCAACAGCAGTCTGCACCATGCGGATTGGGCATCCCTGCTCATGCATACCGTATTCCACCGGTAACACGTAGGCGAGTGTATTTGGATTACAGTATGCCCCATTTCCTATCATGTGGGCCACGTGCGTGCGATTCCGCGATATGCTCAACACTAATCCTGGTCAATCGTGACAGGAGCCTCTGCTCGTTTCATCCTCATTACCTCGGCTACATTGTTCCACTGAAACATCTCCCCTCAATATGGGTTTGCGAGGCAGCCTTGCGCTGGTTCTGGGTCTCGCACTCTTGAGCGGGGCTCGGCCGGCTCGATTGCCACCCCTTCAGCAGCTGCAGGAAGATTGTGAGCCTCGACAGGTCAGGATTCAAATGCATCTGGGTTGCGCAATCCCCCCGGTCATGGGCTCATGGCCGCCGCAGGGCATCATGCGAGCATCTGCTGCTCCCCTAGTGTAGCCAGTGGACTCGAGGTGGCTCAACTCGCAAGCAAGCAGCAACTTGACTTGTAAGAATTCAAATTGAACACATGCCAAACCGCAGGTGCACATCGCGCTGTCAGATGACCCCGGCAGGATGCATGTGTCCTGGAAGACCGCAGGAGCGAAGTAAGTGGCGCAGCAGGAGGCTCGCCGGCGATGTCGTCCGCTTTGTGTGGCATCACTCGGCTGCTGGAGTCTTGTCTCAACCTTGTCTTGTGTTCCCGCCGGCAACGCCTCCTGCTCCTGCACCAGCAACCTGCTCATATGCCGGCAAAACCAGAACAGAAACCGCTGCCTTTGCAGAGGGGTACTGCTCCCTGCACCCACCTGACAATGACGCGCAACCCTACCTCCACACCTGCTTGCAGCTGCAAGTCGGAAGTCTCATGGTGGAGCGATAATGGCAACAGTGGCAGAAGCAGCAGCATCAGAAGTGACAGCGTTGGTGCCAAGAGCAACGTGATGCTGGGCAGTGCGGTCGGCTACTCCTTCCTGCTCTCGGTGTGCAGCGCTGAGCAACTTGGGTGCATGTTGCATCTGTTGAATGCGACAAGATGGCGGCAGGGAAGACCCACCTCACTTCGGCTGTTGCCCAAACCATCAGCGCGGGCTCCCTGCGCCTGTCTCATGAGGCAGCCCCCTCCCTCCGGCCACCCGCCTGCAACCCTCTGGCTTGACATCCACTGCAGGAGCGCGACATGTGCGCCGAGCCCGCGGCCTCCAACGACTTTGAGCTCTACCTGCACCGCGCCGTCATGACAGACCTCGTCCCCGGGGCGCGCTACCGCTACCGTGTTGCAGACGCCGCTGACAGCTGGCCGTTCCGCGCGCAGCCCGTGGCGTCGCCGCACGAGGCATTCAGCTTTGTGGCCTTCGGGGACATGGGCGAGAGCGAGCACGCGGCGGCCAAGAGCCCAGGGTGCGAGGCGGCTGTACCTTAATGAAAGCGGGCTCAACGGGAACGCTCACAGGGGGTTTGGCTTTGGCTAGCCGCATACAGGAGTCCAGCATGCAGGGGCGTGTGCTGGGGGTATAAAGGGGGCAGGGTGTCACGACCGGCTGGCTGAAGGGTGAGGTGACCCCGCCTCTTGCGACCGTTTTGCTTGGCTGCGCCGCGCAACCGCAGGGCTGAGTTCACACTTGAGACGATGCAGCGGCGTGAAATGCCAAATCTAGACATGGTGCTTCATGTCGGGGATATCTCATACGGTGAGTCCATGCTCAGGTGGAGGGAGGAGCCATGGATCTGAGAAAGCCGGTGGGCAGCAAATGAGCTGGCTCAAGTGCTGCAGCGACATCCTTGACATGCATCGATGCAAGCATGAGTAATCCGTGGGCAGCCAGGCCCCGTCTCGGCTGGGTTCCCGCCCCCTGCGCTTGCCCCCTCACCGCATCCATCCCTGTTGCCGCCTCCAACAGCCGACGGCAACCCCGAGATCTGGGACGCCTTTATGGACTCCATTGAGCCCCTGTCAGCCAGGCTGCCCTACATGGTGCAAGTCGGCAACCACGAGTACGGTGCGCGCGCGCTCTGGCGGCCGCTGCGGACACAGCGCTTGAGGGGAAGTGGGGGCAATGCGCTGTGGGTGTGGTGTCCGAAATGTGTGAGGTGGCATCCTTCTCTGCGCAGCATGCAGTCAGCGAGTACGCACCTGCACAAAAATATTTTACCTGGTAACCTGCCTGGCATTGCAACAGCCCCATTCTTGAACCCAAATTCCGAACTCCGCCCCCTCAGGCTACGACAAAGGCTCGGAGATTGACCCCTCTGGCGGCCGCCCCTACGCCCCCAGCTGGGGCAACTACGGCCCCGACAGCGGCGGCGAGTGCGGCGTCATGCTCGCGCGCCGTTTCATGATGCCCGCGCGGTCGCACGCCGACAACCCACCTTTTTGGTACGGCTTTGACTATGGCAGCGCACACTTTGTGGCCATCTCCACCGAGCACGACCTGGAGCCGGGCAGCGTGCAGTACGCCTGGCTGGAGGCTGAGCTGGCGGCGGTGGACCGCTGCAGGACGCCCTGGCTGGTGCTGCTGCTGCACCGCCCGATGTATGGTGAGCACCCCACCTAGGCCCACGCCCCCCCCCCTC